GTATAAGGAACGGCTGCTGGAATTGGGTGTGTCTAGTTTAATGAAGAGAAGGACGAGGGGGGACATGATAGCAGTCTTCCAATATCTCAGGGGCTGCTACAAAGAAGAGGGAGTCAAGCTATTTTCCAAAGCCCCTGAAGGCAGGACAAGAAGCAACGGGTGGAAACTAATCAAGGAGAGAAGCAACCTAGAACTAAGGAGAAACTTCCTGACAGTTAGAACAATTAACCAGTGGAACAACCTGCCTTCAGGTGCTGTGAATGCTCCAACACTGGAAGTCTTTAAGAAGAGACTGGACAGCCATTTGTCTGAAATGGTGTAGGGTTTCCTGCCTGAGCAGGCGTTGGACTAGATGACCTCCAAGGTCCCTTCCAACTTTACTATTATTATTATTATTATTATTATTATTATTATTATTATTATTATTATTATTATTATTATTATTATTATTATTATTATTATTATTATTATTATATTTTATTTTATAGCAGCCATATTTGTTTTGCATGAAAGGCCTGAGGAAGACACATAGGCTTTCACCAGCCAGCATGCTTTCTAAAAACTTGAAAGATACAACAACCTAGCATTAACATCAGGAGGAAAAGGAGGAAGAGGAGATTCCTCATGGAACAAAGAAGAATTTTAATTTATTTCTTTATTACATTTAGAAACCATTCATCTCCCTGACCGAGCGTCCCTGGGCAGCGTACAAATAAGTCTTAAAAACATAAAAGCGGAATAAATAAAAAAGTATAAGGCAGATTAAAAAAGAAGAAAATGTTTAAAATTCAGAATAAAAAAGACAGGGCAGCACCTTCAAGATGCTTGCCAACTCCATAATTAGTCACCAGAGCCAAGTGGGGTCCAGCCTCACCTCTGAGGGGGAAAACATTTATTTGTTTTTATTTATTTCATCAATCAATCAATTTTGGAACTGCCCATGGGTAGTGGGCAGTTTATTAATTTAATTAAATTTAATAATTTAATTGACAATTTAACATAATTAAATTTATTAAATTAATATTTAACAACATATAAAAATGTAAAAACAATATATTAACATTTAAAAAGAGACAAGGATGATTAAAGAAATGTTAAAAATTCGATATTATATAATATTAATATAAGAATATATTAAATTAAGACAAAGGGAAGGCTTTAAGGGCATATTTAAGTTCTTAGCTATAGCCTTGGCTTTATTTTTATCTAACTTTCATTTTACAGCTAATGCTTTAGTTATTTGTTTACTTATTTGATTCGATTTGATGTGTTTTCCACCCATCTCACTTCAAGGAGATTCTGGGTGTCTTGCAACATTTAAAGCAATAAAACTGTATAATTAAATATATTTTGATAACAAATTAAAACAATTAAAAGATGGCGAGGAAGACAGCAGGATGCACGGGGGGAGGTGAGATCTTCTCTTAATCTATCAACTACTTTCCAGCATGATTAGTCTCCAGTTGGGGCCCCAAGCAAATTGGCAGTCAGGCCATTTGTTACCTTATTTTACCATATTTTACTATTATTTTAGGGCCCATGACATGTTCCGACCTTTGGTTACAACAATATTATCATTTATCATATGGCACATTCACATCACATTTCGATAAAAACACAAGAGATAAAAATCCAAAATATGAAATATAAAATCTAAAATATTATAAACATGTGTCTGTATTACAGGTATATGTTTTTGCTTCATTTGTCACAGCCAGGAAATCAGCAAAGTCTCCACTCTGTTTTGGCACTCTGTCTCTAATATGTTAGATAGTTTGTTTTTCGGCCCTGCAATCACAATTTGTTGATTGATTTTTCCCCCCACTTATAGACAGCATCAGCACATCTACCATGGCCACTGCGAATTCGGTTCAGTGTTGTCCATATCGTATGGGATTACAACAATAATTTTACTTACTCTGTTGAGAGTCTGTCCAGAAAACAGGCACTGAAACTGAGGAATAGTCCTTCTTCGTTTCAGATTTTTAATTTCCTGAAAGTGGGACAGTATAAGACATTTTTCTCCTGCTGACCCTAATAAATTGAAATAATTCTGGTTGTAGCACACAATTCTGTGAGCATCAAGCAACCAAGTATAAAGGGCTTTAGAGGTCAAAACCAACTCTTTAGATTACATACAGAAAATAACTGGCAGCCAGTGCAGGGCTTATTGGATAGGTACAGTTAGCGCACAGACCACTGTACTTTGAACTAAGTGCAACTTAAATGGCCTGTAAAAGCAGCTCCATGTGAAATGTATTTTGAGTCACAATCCCAAAATTTAGGAAAGACTCTAGGTTGAATGCTTTATAAATTAGCACGCTTACTTTATTAAGATCATGTGCAATAAAATGCTTCCCCTTTCTCTCTGAAAGACATATGATTAAAAAGTGTAATTTTAAGAAATGCTACCTTTTGCTCTGGCTGAAGCCCACAGAAGAAATTTATTAAAAAAAAAGAAAAAGATACTAAGAGTAAATTGAAGTAAATACATTTTATTGGCATGCAAAAGAAAACAAAGGCATAACTAAACAAGCTTGTGTAGCATATTGTTCAGCCACCACATCCAGATATTTCGTTGATCTGGTTAAGTATGTTGTGTGAACCCAACAATAGGTTGGAGATGTGTAGAGTAAATGGAGGCAAAACCTGGAATTAAGAGAATATGCATACATTGAATAAATATACTGTTTTAATGCTTTGTGGGTGGGTTTTTATAAGTTTAAGATTTGTGGGGAATAGCACATAGCTTGTAAGGCTGCGGAGGCATCGTCACTTTTACAATAGGTGTTTGATCGAATTCTTTGACTCCTTCAGGCAACTTGAAGTTGAAGGACCTCAAGAGGCTGGTTAGAAGGATAAAGATCTCAATTCTTGCTAGCTGCTGTCCCAAACATACACGCAGACCTGTAAATGAGACAAAGCATGCATAAAGTGGATAATAATCTGTTCTCCAGAGTATAGCCCATCAGCAAGGAAATCCCCTCACGGAGATGACTTTAACTCAAGATGTACTAGATGGAACACCATTTCAAAGGCAAAGCTAGCTACACACCCATAAAATAAATGTTTTGGTGTCTTTGTCCAGAGAGGGGCCTACAAGAAGGAAATCAATTTTTCACCTCTCTGTCCACCACCTTATTCTACAGTGCAACAGGCTATAGCTGGAGTAGAGCAAGGGTTTTCAACCAGTGGTATGGGTACCACCTGTGGTACATTGGCATCTGGCAGGTGGTACGCGACCATCCTAGAAAAGTGGTAGTGAGGAAGGGGAATGAGCTGAACCGGTGGCAGCACCGCACAAACCTGCGTGAGAGATGGCTGGAGCTGCAGGGCTGTCAGGGCTCAGCGGAAGTGCCAGGATCAGCGCTTCTTCGGGGCTGTCAGGGCTCAATGGAAGTGCCAGGATCAGCGCCAGGCTCCAGCTGGAGCCTGGCACTGATCCTGGCGCTTCTGCTGAGCCCAGAAGAAGCGCCAATCAGCTGGAATGTTGCAGCATCTCCAGGGTCTTGTGATTTACATTCAGATGCTTGGCAACTGATTCATATTTATGACGGTCACAGTGTCCCAGGGTCATGTGAAGTGACCAAAATCTGCTGCAACCACCCAGTAGATGGGGGGAATAAAAACCAAACACCACCCCACCTCACCCCCGCTGCCAATCCTCAACAGAAATGCTCACAACAATGAAAACCTCAGACAGGAGGAAGAGCGCCGCTGGATGGGCAGGCAGGTGTCTTGCTCGGCTGTGGCTTGGGGGGGTGTTTGGTTTTTATTCCCCCCATCTGCTGGGTGGTTGCAGCAGGTTTTGGTCACTTCACATGATCCTGGGACACTGTGACCGTCATAAATATGAATCAGTTGCCAAGCATCTGAATGTAAATCACAAGACCCTGGAGATGCTGCAACATTCCAGCTGATTGGCGCTTCTTCTGAGCTCAACAGAAGCACCAGGATCAGCACCAGGCTCCAGCTGGATCCTGGCGCTGATCCTGGCACTTCCACTGAGCCCTGACAGCCTCGAAGAAGCGCTGATCCTGGCGCTTCTGCTGAGCCCTGATAGCCCTGCAGCTCCAGCCATCTCTCGGTCAGGCTTGTGCGGTGCTGCCACCGGTTCAGTTCATTCCCCTCCCCCGCTACCACTTTTCTAGGATGGTCGCGTATCACCTGCCAGATGCCAATGTACCACAGGTGGTACCCGTACCACTGGTTGAAAACCCTTGCTTTAGTCTATGTAAATGCTTGAGGTGTAGAACAAGTGAGAGGGGAAGAGCCACGAGGAAGACATGGAGCAAATAGGTTGGCTAAAAGTGTACTGGAGATGTGTGTGTGTGTGTGTGTGTGTGTGTGTGTGCCCATAATCCTTGGTAGATCCATCAGAACCCAGTTTGAAAAATCCAGGTTAGATCTACACAAGGAATTTCCAGAATCACTGGAAAGTTCTCTATTGCCAGAACTCAGTTTATACTTGAATACTGCGTGGCTACTAGGCTATGTAGTACATTCCCCAAAGAGGTATATTTTGCCTCTGCTCGCTCAACATTTAAAGAAATGGAAAAATGTCAATGTCAACTGTTAATCTGTTTTAATTATTTGGCTTTCACTTTTGATTTTTTTTTCAATTTTTGCATGTCACCTTGAGTATTTGTGGCAATGAGTTGTCCATCACCTTCTATAGGTTTGTCATCTCTACAGGCTTTTATTTACTGTGTTTCACATCATTTGTGGATGGAATATTATCCATATTATCCATATTATGGATAATATTCCATGAGGTGAGGTTGGAGGAGTGGTAAATGAGTGAATGACTTTTAGATTCTTACTGTAGTGGCTCATTTCCTGCCTATAATGACCGGGTTGGCTATGGAGGAATGCAAGGAGGGGATACTATGATGCAGTGGCAAGTGATGGTGGTAATAAGATGTGATAGGACTCCTGGAATTGTGGGGGACAGCTGATAACAAGAGTCATAGGTTTTCAAATCTACCATTTGTTATCTGTACCATCAGTGGAGAAGGATTCATTAGTGTACATGAAGTACCAGACAGGAGTGGAAGCACTGTGGTAGAAGGAACTCTCCAGTTATTAAAATGGTGGAACTTAATGCATCAGGCACTATTACTCTGTTGCCTGGTTCCATCAATAAGAAGCTGTAATTTGGCTAGCTTTCTTTGGATTTATATAACAATTCTCCCCCAAGCACTGAAGGTAATTGTATAATCTTGCACCTGTCTTACAAAACTCTACTGGGTAAGAAAACCAGTTTGGTCTAGTGGTTAAGGCATCAGGTTAGAACATAGTTGCACCTTAACCATGAAAGACAGCTGGGCGTTCTTAGGCCAGTCACTCTCTCTCAGTCCAACTCACGTAACAAGATTGTGGTTGTGGGGACAATTGGAGGAGGAGGTGTGTTGGATATATTCGCCATTCGAGTTATTTGTAAAAATAATAAAGATGGGATGCAATAAATAAACAAACAAATAAATAAATAAATAAATAAATAAATAAATAAATCTAGTATAAATAAATAAATCTAGTATAAATAAACAAACCCCGTATGTATAAATAAATAAATCTCGTATAAATAAATAAATCTAGTATAAATAAATCTAGTATGTATATATAAATAAATAAATAAATATCGTATGCATGTATAAATAATAATAATAATAATAATAATAATAATAATAATAATAATAATAATAATAATAATAATAATAATAATAATAGTAAAGTTGGAAGGGACCTTGGAGGTCATCTAGTCCAACCCCCTGCTCAGGCAGGAAACCCTATACCATTTCGGACAAATGGCTGTCCAGTCTCTTCTTAAAAACCTCCAGTGTTGGAGCAAATCAATCAATAAATAAATCTAGTATAAATCAATCAATAAATAAATCTAGTATAAATAAATAAATCTAATATGTATGTATGTATGTATGTATGTATGTATGTATAAATAAATAAATAAATCTAGTATTTCTTTCTACATCACAGTTTATAGCCTAATGGGAATTTCAGACTCTTAGTTTTGAAACTAGAAGGAATTAGGAATCCTGGGTTTCCTATTCAGACCATATTGACCTCAGAACAACTCAGGGGTGTTGGTGTTGGGAATCTGTTTGTTATCAGCTGTTTTGGACTCTTGGATTTACCTGTTCCGAATGCTAGGAATTCTTCCCGTTCAACGAACTTCCCATCCTTATCTAAAAAGTGATTTGGGTTGAATTCTTTAGGTTTCTCCCATTGTTCAGGATCAAGAAGAACAGAGCGCAGGTCTGCGACAATAAAGGTCCCCTGTAAAAAAAAAAAAAGATGATTAGGCAGCTTTATAAGAGAAACAGGCAGAAATGTTCAAAGAATATTGATGAAAAATTTGCTTATAGTTTGCCTTTATGAATCCATATTTGTCTAAAACAGTTACTGAGAGTAGTGGCTGCTCAACAGCTTAGTTTCATTTCTCCCTTTCCTTCCAATAAAATAGAGGGCTGGGTACCTATTTCTTTATCATACCAGGTTACCACAAGAAGAGGACAAAGAAACATGGCTACACATGTTTACAATTCTGATCTTTCATTCAGCCTTTACTCTCTTTTAATCTTTCTAAGATAAATATAAAATGTTTGAGGATCTAACTTTAAAATCTGACAGGTATTTGGATTTAAACTCATAACCCATCGCCCATTCACTCTTTTCTTTATGTTTGAAATGTATGTGTATGTCTACATCCCTGGAAGAAATCATCTTCTCCTTCCAGCACTTCTATTTAATAATAATAGTAATAATAGTAAAGTTGGAAGGGGCCTTGGAGGTCATCTAGTCCAACCCCCTGCTCAGGCAGGAAACCCTATACCATTTTGGACAAATGGCTGTCCAGTCTCTTCTTAAAAACCTCCAGTGTTGGAGCATTCACCGCTTCTGGAGGCAGGTTGTTCCACTGGTTAATTGTTCTCACTGTCAGGAAGTTTCTCCTTAGTTCTAGGTTGCTTCTCTCCTGGATTAGTTTCCATCCGTTGCTTCTTGTCCTGCCTTCAGGCGCTTTGGAAAATAGCTTGACACCCTCTTCTTTGTGGCAGCCCCTGAGATATTGGAACACTGCTATCATGTCCCCCCTCGTCCTTCTCTTTATTAAACTAGACGTACCCAATTCCAGCAGCCTTTCCTTATATGCTTTAGCCTCCAGTCCCCTAATCATCTTTGTTGTTCTTCTCTGTACTCTTTCTAGAGTCTTAGCGTCTTTTTTACATCGCAGTGACCAAAACTGGATGCAGTATTCCAAAGAACCAGCAAAGGTAGGCAAACTCAGTATTGTCCTTCCCCAATGTTTCTCACTCAAAAGATAGTCAGCTGTGCAGCATAAGTAACGTAGGTGTGGGTGTGTTTGTTGTAACTTTGAACAGTAGTTAAGTGACCATAAATTGAGGGCTATCTTTATTCTGCTTTTCCTTCTCAGATGGACTACTGACATGCATCCTGACCACGTTTCTCACCTTTGGAATGTGGTATCCCCTCATCTTCACATCTTTTTTAGTTTGCCTGGGAACCCCAAATAGCAAGGCATACTTTACACGCTGCATTTCATGAATCACAGCATTGGTGTAGGGCAGCTTGTTCCGATCCTGATAGGAAATCAACCGTGAGAAGCCAAACACATCTTCAATCTCTTTGTGGACTTTCTCTAGGAGAAAAATAATGGAAATAGAAGCTTCATTTTCAGTATTGTGGTTCACTTATTTATTTCCCAATAATAATCCTTAGTAGTACTTTAGGATGTAGAATAGCCTTTTAGGGCATTAAACATAATAATCCCGTTCTCCTTTTGAGTGTCATGAAGGAGTACAGATTAAAAATGCATTTCCTCGGCTCTGATTAGATCTTGTCCAAACTGATTCAGAATATTGATGCAAACTGGTAATTTACTTCAAAGATTCCATTGAATCTCCTTCAGTCAAGCCGGTCATCAGAATTTAGTCCCAGCCAGTTTGGAAATCTGAGTCAGTTAAAAAAAAAATCAATAACTGTCTTGAAAATATTTTCAACCAAATTTTTGCACTCTTACGTTAATTGTCATATTGTAATTTGGTCTTCTATAGTGCTTTTTTTCTAAAAAAAAAAAAAAAAAGGTGGTGGAACTCACACACGTCATACAACCCGCCTTGCCTACTCTATAAGGTTACATCCAAAAAAGGTGCCAGAACTTTGTTCTGGGTGTTCTATGAGAAAAAAAGCCCTGGTCTTCTACACACAATCTAGGCTGAGAACAAGTACCAAATCTGAAAATCTGGGTAGATTTTTACATTTAAAGTCTGTTAAATATTTTAGATCTACTTTTTGGTTCACCACTCAAAATTATATTGAAGATATCAAAGAAGGTTTTCCATATGTACATTCTTGATTTTCACTAATCCTAATAATAATAATAATAATAATCCTGCTAAGCTCATGTTTGTGATTATAGATTCAAAAATCCAGCTATGAAATTAGTATGAACAGATTCAGTTTATCGTTCAATAACCATTGATATTTCAAATAATTTTAAACGATTCATGTGTGTTTTAGATCCTGAGAGGCGGCCCTTGTTCCAACTGCTCAGATTTCTCTCACCTTGAATATCAGAATGACTTGCCAAGAGGATCAGTGCCCACTTCAGAGTAGCAAAAGTTGTGTCTGTCCCAGCAGAAAACAAATCAAAAACACACTGTGCCAGGTTCTCTTCATTGTAGGTAGAGTTGGGGTCATTCCTGCTCTGATGTTTAAAATGGAAGGTGAAATTTACAATGAATTCTATGTATCTTTTATGTGGTTATTTTTGCTTCTGTGTCGCAAAGCATGAGAATAAAATATGTTCTTGGTAGTTATGTAGGAACATCAGCGCAGGAGAGTAATAATTACAGTGGTAGATTCATACTCAGTAAGACTCAATGTAAAAGTAGGCCAGAAACATGAGAGTTCACAAAGTTGATACTATATGGAACAAAACTGTGACTGAGTATAGATGTTCTGCTTCGGATACCACGGAGCCTCCTTCCAGAAGGTAACAAGGAAAACAGGTCATGACGAGGATGTGTAGCATCCCAGACAATCCTGTGGACCCTGCTCAAGCATCGCTTATACGCCATGTCCTGGATAGAAGGAAGTGAACTACCAATAATCTTTTCTGCCATCCTCATCACGCTCTGCACCGCCTTCCTGTCTGAAGCAGTGATGCTTCCAAATTGGACTGAAGTGGTGGTTCAGAGAGCATTCCAGAAATTGCTGAGTCTAGAGATAATGCTCTCTCCCACTGTCCTTGACTGTCTAAGCCATATCCTGTTTTTTGCTTTGCTTAGTAGCCAATTCCCTATTTTTATCTCTGGGTCAATGTTCAACTGTCTGGTATTTTTCCATACTATCAGGAATGCTGAGATCACAATGTTTAGCATATTACCATATATGGGATCCAGAGGGGTCAGGAAATACATACGTTGTATAAACTATACATGTGCTCTCTGAACACTCCTCGGGGTTCAGATCTTTTTGCTTTGTGTAGCTCTCTGAACCTGCGCAAATAAACCTTTCCTTTTTCAAAGAGCTGGCTCAAGTCCTTTCATTCCACAACAGGACAATATGACAGGATGCTCTCGATCGTCCCTCTGTAGAAAGTGGTAAGGACAGGGGAAGGAAGATGTGCTTTTCTCATGTGACACAGTAAATGCAGGTGCTGCCGTGCCACCTTCACCAGTATCTCACTGTTGAGCAACCAAGCTAATCTACTTGTTAGCTGCACACCCTGAAACCTGATGCTGCTAACCACCTCCACAGGTGAATCATTAATACACAGAAACAAGTAGCTCTCTTATTTCCTTGCCCATGTATTGAACTACAATAAACTCATACCTTCTCCATCTGAAGAAGGTAGTAATCAATGAAATCTTGTGGCTCATGGAGAGAGCTGGATTCCTTGTGTTTCTGTATTTCTTGCTTTGCAAAGGAAATGATCCAATCTATAGAAGCCAAGGCCTTCTTGTGAGGGCCTGGGAGATAGTTCATTAATCGGGGGAACAAATCATACACCTAACAGAAAAAGGAAGAGGAAAAATTACTTATTTCCCACCACAGTTAGAGAAGACTTTCAGCAGCTGACAGTAACAGACAACTCTAATCAAACAACAAAAAAAATATTATAAACATTAAAATATGGTAAACAATACATGGTGTCAGACCATAAAAGCCCTCCAGAAATTATTCTAGAAAGCAGATAATGTTGGAAGCAGATGCATTATTATAAAGCTATTATAAAATTCTCTTATTGTAAAACCTAAATATATATACTATAGCTAACTCAGCTGTGTGATTTAATAAATCAGACCAACTGGATTCACATACCAGGCTAAATAATAGATTCACTAGTATAGTTTAGATTTTCACAGTCTACTAGTTTACGATCTAGTATGCTTGATCTTTGGGATCAAAAATGGGCATCCCCATTCAGATTCAGATGCCCCAACCCTGGTAGTTTCCCAAGGTGTGGAAAACCTGACTGTTTTCAAAGACATTTGGATCAGGTGGGCTGAATTATAACTGATGGCAGGTAAGGTTATTGTTTATTCTTCAGTGCTTGAAACTATGTCTTGTGAGTTTGTTCTTGCAATTCTCTAAGCCCCCAAAGCCATATAATTCATATATAATAACAATAACAACAATAATATATATTTTAAGGAGATATCTGGTTGACACCTAGGATGCTGGTAGCAACCCGTGTCAACCATCAGCACCAGCCAATTTGAATGTTCTGTTGACTGAGGTTCATGTTTAATGAATAAAAGATAATAATAATAATAATAATAATAATAATAATAATAATAATAATAATAATAATAATAATAATAATAATAATAATAATAATAATAATAATAATAATAAAAAAAAAAGTTGGAAGGGAACTTGGGGAGTCATCTAGTCCAACCCCCTGCTCAGGCAGGAAACCCTATACCATTTCAGACCAATGGCTGTCCAGTTTCTTATAACCACAATGACGACCAAAATTTCCCGGTTCAGTTATGGTTGCAAGTCAAGGACTGTTGCATAGTCCTAGGGCAGATGAGCAGAAATCTAGTATTACAATCAAGAGAAATCTTTCTTCCTCTTTCTTCCATAGTATTTATATCCCATTAGAATATTGCATCCAGTTCTCTAGCTCAGAAGAACTGTTCAATGATGGACTGACACAAGAAGTGTTGGACCATCATTTGCTAGAGGTATTTAAATATGGAGTAGAAGGCCATCTGCTTATGATACTGAAATGATGATTCCTACATAGGGAGAGCCACTGAAGTTAAGGTATCAGTCTAGAAACGGGAAACCATGAATTCTGGTCCCAACTCAAGCACTAAGTCAACTGGGTGACCTTGGATCAGTCCTTTTTCAGCTCTAGGAGAGTGGGAAACTACTTCCGAAACGTGAGAAAAAACGCATCCAGGCAGTCACAAGGAGTCAACACTGACTCGAGGGCATACAAAAGTACTGGAGAGAAGAGTACATTAGATGATTTGCAAGGCTTCCTCCATGCCTTACACGACTCCATGAAAACAGTGGTGGAAACATAGGTTTGGGGGACTTTGTCTCTCTTGTAGAAAAACGACTCACCATATGGAAAAAGCCAGTAGTGAATTTCACAATAATTTCAAGGGCTTGAATTAACTTCTGGAAGTTTTCATCTTCAAGAGCAAACTGACGTCCAAAACTCAAAGCACATATGACATTAGAAACTGCGTTTAGTACCGGAAACGATGGGTCAAATGGCTCTCCTGCAAATGAAGATATTTTATAATGAATTTTTAGGGAACAGGACTTTGAAGGGGATGAAGGAAAACAATTTGGAACTAATTGTTTGAAAAATCAAAAAATCAAAAATCAAATACACCGCTTTTTATTCGAAATACTCAGAATGGAAAAGATTCCTGCAGGCAGGGACTTGAGCCATTATGATTACCCCAAATTGCATACCTTTTGTTTGTCTAAAGGCCTCTACCAACGTCTGAGCTGTGTCTTCTATTCGATGCTCAATGCTTTTCTTTCCCAGGCCCAGCTTCCGCAGAGAAGTGATGCCGATGTGCCGCTGCTGTTTCCAGGTGTGGCCACTGGAAAGAAGAATTCCTGTGGGCATCAGCAGACAACGATAAGTCATTCCTGATAACATTCCTGTTAAAATCCGCTTAGGTCTAGTTGTTGTCTAGATTTCAGGTGGGAACATCAAATCACAAGCTATGGTTATTTTCTCTAATCAACGCTAACTTTATTCATGGATTTACTTTTCATAAACCAAATGAAACAAGAGTTCAATTTTTTTCCCCTTATAATATTTTGTGAATGTATTAGTTGTGCGGGGATTATTTCAAGGCATGTGAGTGAATTTGTAAAACAAACAGAGGTGGTTTCCAGAATGGACAGGTGATCAGTGAACGTAGATTGATCATATATTTGAACAGTCAGTATAAAATTAGTGCCTTTACAGTAGTGGCCAAAATTGTGGAAACCTTTTGGGAAAAGTATATTTTTGAGGTTTGATGGCTAATAACATCACTTTTTGGGGGAGTAGTATGATAAAATTATATATCAATGGAAAGATAATTTAATCAAGAATGTAATGCAACATAGTTTGTTCAATTATCTGTACTGTATTCTATGAAAAGTTATAGCCAAATAACCAGAAAAAGGAAGCACAACTTGCTTAAGTTGATATCAGCTAGCTTTCCTTCATCTGATTGTAGCCAATGAGCATGAGTGTTTAGAGAGCCAATCAGGTGTCATCTTGTTTTGGCAATGAGCCAATCAGATCACAGTAGGATCCAGTTATTAATAGTCAAGCTATTTTCCAAGGCACCTGAAGGCAGGACAAGAAGCAACGGATGGAAACTAATCAAGGAGAGAAGCAACCTAGAACTAAGGAGAAACTTCCTGACAGTGAGGACAATTAACCAGTGGAACAACCTGCCTCCAGAAGCGGTGAATGCTCCAACACTGGACGTTTTTAAGAAGACACTGGGCAGCCATTTGTCCGAAATGGTATAGGGTTTCCTGCCTGAGCAGGGGGTTGGACTAGATGACCTCCAAGGTCCCTTCCGACTTTATTATTATTATTATTATTATTATTATTATTATTATTATTATTATTATTATTATTATTATTATTATTATTATTTATTGAAGCTGAGAGGAGGACATGCGTCAGTGTGTTATGTGATCGCTATCAAGTTGGTTGGGTTTTTTTGTGTTCTTTCATTTAGTGAGCATGTAAAACATAATAAAATTAAATTAATGGTGCAAAGAGTTGACTGGTTGCCCAGAAAGCGATGTAAAATAGTATTATTAAGTGGACAAGGCTACAGTTATAAAGAAATTAGAAGAAAAATGGGTGGAAACTTAACCAAAGGTGGCATTTCTACTGTAAAACTTCCCCAAAAGGTTTCCAAGATTTTGGCCACTACTGTAAGTGGATAGGTCCTACAGAGAGAATTGGCAAAAATCAAATTTGGAAAACAGATAAATGAAGGAAGAGGGGAGGGATCAAGAGGCAGCGGAAGACAGAGAAACGTGTAATTGGAGGAGGTTGACGAGATCAGCAGAAAGTGGATTAAGCAAAAATTATTGTGCTTATCTCATATCTTCAAAGTATTTTGTTTATTATGTCTTGCTCTTCTTTTCCATGCTATGAATAACATTACCACAAATTATAATAGTGTGATGGTTATACAATTCTTTACAATTTGCACCTACCCCTTCCTTTTCCTAAAGCAGTCAAAAAAGGATCATCCGGCCGGTCCGAGAATTCTTCTGAGAACCTGGTCATTTCTTCTTTCACAGCTTTGAAACCAGACAGTACAACTACAAGGTAAGGCCCAAGCCACATGGAGTATATATTCCCATATGGTTTTACATGCTGGCAAGTGAATCAAAGATGAGAAATGTTACAATCAAATAAAACAGGGTATGGGCACCTAATATGCCCCCAACAGTCTTTCCTAAATCCTGAATTCTAAGACTTTTCACCCCAGGCGATTCTCTGCTCTTTAGAATTAGTCCTCACAACCAACATTCCTTGGCTGACATAACAAGCCCAATCTGTTAGATCAGTGGTTCTCAACCTTTTTAATGCTGCGACCCCAACCGGTCGTAAGTCGAGGACTAAACCGGTCATAAGTCGAGGACTAAACCGGTCGTAAGTTGAGGACTACCCAATCGGTCGTAAGTCGAGGACTTTCCCTGCCCAGGAGCACCACGCATGCGTTGTTCCACCCCCTGCGCCTGCCGAGGCGTAGCTGGCAAGCGGCAGAGACGGAGCAGGCCGACTACCAGCTGGCCCAGCCCAAGGGAGGTAAGGCACCCGCTGGAAAAGGGGAAAAAATGGCGGACAAAAAAATGGCGGACAGCCTTGCTTGGCGACCCCCATGAAATGGTCGATCGACCCCAAATGGGGTCCCGACCCACAGGTTGAGAACCACTATGTTAGATCAAACTGGACGGGGAGAAACAGCTGGGAGAAAAAACAGTCCCCCAGGAATCTGGTTTCAAGCCATGAAGCACGTACAGGTGATAATCAACACCTTGAATTACACTTGAAACATGCCAGGGACTCTAGTACTTTTAGTTCTATTAACGTTCTTCTCAGATAAAATGTCCCTGCATTTATTTCTCAGCATTAATGCTAGTCATTCCATTTTAGTGGACATAGTAATTACTGATTATATGATCTCAAAAGCAATACATATGAAAGTTACCATTTTATCATTATAGAACTGCAGAATTAGGAGGGACATTTAGGCTATCACATCTGACTGATTGTCCAGTGCAGGAATTAAAAAATAAAACATATTCATTGGAGGGATGTCGAAGCAGAAAGAAGGGGAAACCCTCCTTTCTCTAGCAAAATTGTTTCCATTATCAATATTTTGTTGGTAAGATAGAACCAGAATCTGCCTTCTAAAAATTCACATCCTGCCCTATTATTTCACATCCTGCCCTGTGAAACGGTGGTAAGCAGGTCTCGGCTTGAATATTCCGGCACATCACTTGATTAAATTCCTCACCATGCAAGAATATTGCCCTAGGTTAATACATTTATCCGTAATTGTGGTGCAAAGAAAATAATTAAAATTATGGTATTTATGACTGGTTGATTATTTAGAAATAAATACCTTAAGCAAAACATCTCCTTGAAGCCCAATCCCATTAGCCAACAAAGTCCCAATGAGAGGTAGAGCCAAAGGACCGGGAGGCAAATGTCTTCGGGTCCAAAGTTGTCTCAGGAAGAAGAGAATCAGCAGAGCAAGCAGAAAAACAAAGAAAATGGTCCCTATGGCCATCATTGTCCTTCTGGAGCTTTCTCCCTGATGCTTCCAAGTTGATCTGGAGGTGGTTCTTTCTTTTTATCTCATCCTTTTTGGTTTCTTCTTGGTTTCTGTACTCCATTGATTGGAAACTAATAACTAATGATCTGTGTAATTAACGCTGGTATTTAGTCAACAAGAGATTACCACATTCATTCACATACATGTGACCATGTGCCACTTAAGTAGCAGAGGAAGAAATTTTTTTTTCTTAAATCAAAGACATGGGGTGGGGTGGGATGGGAGCAAAAGCAGTTAGAGAAAGGTCATGTTTTCTACACCGCCCAGGGTCACTTTGGTGAATGAGACAATTTATACACGAAGTCAATAATTAAGTTAATAACAAGCAAGAAGTTGATTCAAGGGGAGAACTGGGGGATGCCTATCCTTGAGACATGGGCCTGACAGCCAATTACCCTAAAAGAGGTCCTATGGATGGATAATAATTGTGGAATGACTCTAGGAACCAAATGAAACTTGAGTCATTCTTAGAGTTTTGCTGTGTACTCGAGGGGAAAAAAGAAACTATCCAGAGCCCAAGGGCAGATGTGAGCTTAAAAAAAAAGTCCTTCAAAGATTCACCTTTCAGGCTACACTCCAGAATGAGACATATGAAGGCAATTGGCAATTTGGTGGTAAGGAATAAAAAGAATAATAAAAGTATTGGGCCATAAGGCAAAACACAATATCATAAAGGATGGCTAGGTCCTACTCAAGCCACATGATCTCTATTAGTTTGAATAATGCTTCAGAGTTGGGCAATTGTTCCTGGTAAAGCTTTAGCAGGGATCATTTCCAGATGTGGTCATGGATTAGGCAAGTGGATTGTCGACATCCATTTTTAAACAGGTATTTCTAAACACATATAGCTCTCTGCCTATAATTTGCTGCTTGGATTAAAGATACCTTTCAATCAATAACAGCTGCTGCAGAATCTATTACAACAGACGCTCCTTATTAGCATGGTGGTTACACTTGTTTTAGTTGCCAAAGGCTGCACAGCACCAGAGACGGTTCTCAACAGTATGAAGCCTCCGTGAAGACGTTCCCTTATTTGGAAGCAAAGTTGAATGAGGTTCATGGTAAAATCCTGATGCTGGGCTTGCAAGGGTACGTATGAGATATAATCCTGGACCAGATAATATCTCTGTGATCCAACAAGTTTTTCCTGTATACTCGGGGAAATTTCATGGACATATGGAACACTATGATTTTCATCATGATTTTCAAAATAATGCTGGCACACTATGACATTAGGGACACATTGGGTTATACAGGACTAATTTTTTTAAAAAAATTAAATCTCTTTATTATTTGAGTGACGCACGGTCAGAGGTAACCTCATTCATGTGGTTTAATATAAACAACTTGCTGACAAAATTCCAGTGGTAATCAAAAGATATCTTGCTACATCCCATTAATGAAATATGAGAAACAGGAAGAAGAGCAAAAAGCATCAGACAAAAGGATACAACCGTCTCCGGATGTACTAGTGAGCCTCAAAGAAGAAGCACTAGCAGGACAATGATGGTGACAGGGACAATTCTGGTTTTTTTGCTGCTTGTTCTGTTGATTCTCCCCTTCCTGAAACAACTTTGGACCCGAAGACATTTGCCTCCCGGTCCTTTGGCTCTTCCTCTCCTTGGATCTGGCTTGGCAAGTGGGCTTTGGCTCCGTGAAGATTACTACCTTAAGGTATTTAATTCTAACCAGATAATTCTCAAATGTTTTCTTTATACTAAAATTATGGCATGATATTAAGGTAAGCCTTGCTTACAGCTGCTCCACAGAGAACAATGTGAAATAACAGGGCTAAATGTTTAGAAGGCAGATTCTAGTTCAATCTTTCTAAGAAATGTTTGATAATAGAACCAATTCTTCAGAGAGAAGGTGGGTTCCTCTTCATTCTGCTCAGGCTAGACTTTCTTCTGTTGAAGATGCTTTATTCTCTATTCCTGCAGTGGACAGTAAGTGGAACTTGATCGCCTAAATGGTCCCTTCTAAATTTGCAATTGTATAATAATTTCAAAAACGATCTGGGTCGGAGTTCTGAAGAGTAGTTTCTATTTTAGATAATGACTCATACATAGCTGGTTGGAGAAGAAAGATATATAGAACAGATACTTATATCTGCTTTGTATGTGGTGTAGTATGAGCTTGATATTAGTGCTTATAAAGTCCAATTTAACCACAACTCCAGTTCTGCCATGTTCTCCTGCACCAAGGCTCTTAGTATTGTAACATGATTTTGTCCTAGTTAAGAAAACTGTATTCCTTGTCTCGGTTCCACTGTCTCATCAGAAAATCAGAGATACATGAATTGTACAACTCGAGATGTAGGTTAAAAAAAAATAAAATTCAGAATGTGTTAGCAGATTCTATTTACACGATTGAGAACTGTAAAATTATTTTGGGTTGCTGGAATTAGGTACAATCATCAGGATTCTGTCAGAATCCAATTATATTTCATTTCTAGTTATCTACTATGGAAAAAAACCCATTTCTGCTCTCTCTGGATTCTGTCATACTACGAAGGGGAAGGGGGATGAGCAGGATGGGAGAGAATTTCTCAGATCCTGTCTAGCACGCCTACAATCATTTCCTCTTAATAAATATGCCTGTTGGAAGAGATATTCCAAGAGTTCTGTATTCTTAAGATGTAAAGTGAGGTGGGTCCTTACATCTTTGGAAGGAAGCATCAGAATAACAGAGTTGGAAGGGACCTTGGAGGTCAACCCTAAAACTTTTCAGACAAATGGTTTCTCTGAACAGATACTTATATCTGCTTTGTATGTGGTATAGTATGACCTAGTTATTAGTGCTTATAAAGCCTAATTTTACTGCATCTCCACTTCTGCCATGTTCTCTTGTATCACTGTTGCTTGGAGGTACACCTAGTTTAAGTAAAATCCTATTGGGCAAGGGGTGACATGATAGCAGTCTTCCAATATCTAAGGGGCTGCCACAAAGAAGAAGGAGTCAAGCTATTCTCCAAAGCACCTGAAGGCAGGACAAGAAGCAACGGATGGAAATTAATCAAGGAGAGAAGCAACCTAGAACTAAGGAGAAATTTCTTAACAGTGAGAACAATTAACAGGTGGAATGATTTACCTCCAGAAGTTGTGGGTGTGCTAACACTGGAGGTTTTTAAGAAGAGAGTGGACAATCATTTGTCTGAAATGGTTTAGGGTTTTGTGCAGGGGGTTGGACTAGAAGACCTCCAAAATCCCTTCCAACTCTGTTATTCTGTTATTCTCTTCCAAGGATAGAATCCTGATGACTGTACATAAATTGGAAAATAATTTTACAGTTCTCAATCACTTAAAAAGAATCTACTAATGCATCCTGAATTATATATATATATATATTTAACTTACATCCCCAGTTGTAAAATTCATTTACCTCTGATTTTCTAATGAAATAGTGCAGTGGTGGCGAACCTATGGCACGCGTGCCAAAGGCGGCACTCAGAGCCCTCTCTGTGGGCACGCACCCCATGCCCCAGAGATGGCAACCATCCCTCTTCAACCAGCTGCCTGCTAATTCACCAAGGTCCCACATAGCCAGATGCATCCCAGCACCCATGCGCTCGCTGGCCTCTGTTTGCGGGGGCCGATGGTGTCAGGCAGCAGCTGCCCCGGCCCCTGCCTCACCTTGCCCTGTGACAATGGCACCCCCGCCCTGCCTCACCTTGCCTCGCCTCACCCTGCAGGACAAGCCTCTTGCCCACCACCCCACCTGCCAGAGACCCCCTGGATCTCCCCCAACCCTGCCCGGCCCCTACAGGCGTCCCTCCCCACGAGCAATATCGAGGTGATCATGCCCACCTTGGCCACACCCACCGAATCTGCCATGTCCACCACAGCCACGCCCACCCAGTGGGCCACACCTACCTGGCACCTGTGATAAATAAGTGGATTTTGGGTTGCAGTTTGGGCACTCGGTCTCTAAAAGGTTCGCCATCACTGAAATAGTGGAACGAAGAAATATTGTTCATGACTGTCTTCCAAAGAAAACGTGGAAATCACTTAGGTGAGAGAGGGGTGTAGAAATTTAATAAGCAAATAAAATAGGCAAAACAAAATTTGAAAAAAAAAAAGGATGTCAGAGGTTCTTGGCAAGAACCTTAGAGAGGGGAAAAAGAATTCTAAAGAGCAGAGAATTGCATATGGTGAAAAGTCTTAGAATTCAGGATTTAGGAACACCTGTAGATGGCATACAGTATTAAATGGGAATCATCCGTGTATTTGATTGTAAAATTTATCATCTTTGATTCACTTGACAGCCTGTAAAACGATATGGAAATATATACAGCTTGTGGTTTGGGCAACAACTTATGATAGTGCTGTCTGGATTCAAAGTGGTGAAAGAAGGAATGACCAGCTTCCCAGAATTCTCGTACCGAGTAGAGGATGCTTTCTTGAACGAGTTAGGGAAAGGAAGGGGTAAGTGCAAACAGTAAGAAATTCTACCTTAATAACCATCAAACTCTTCCAATTTGTGGTAATCTTATGCATAGCACAGAAAAAAGAGTAAGATGTAGTAAACAAAATGATTTACAGGCATGAGACAAGCAAAACAGAGGGATAGAATCATTAACAGAGACATTAACAGAGGGATAGAATCAAGATCACGTGAAGTGTTAATACCACTTTACAAGGCCTTGGTAAGGCCACACTTGGAATACTGCATCCAGTTTTGGTCACCACGATGTAAAAAAGATGCTGAGAGTCTAGAAAGAGTACAGAGAAGAGCAACAAAGATGATCAGGGAACTGGAGGCTAAAACATATAAGGAACGGTTGCTGGAATTGGGTATGTCTAGTTTAATGAAGAGAAGGACGAGGGGGGACATGATAGCAGTATTTCAATATCTCAGGGGCTACCACAAAGAAGAGGGAGTCAAGCTATTTTCCAAGGTGCCTGAAGGCAGGACAAGAAGCAACGGATGGAAATTAATCAAGAAGAGAAGCAACC